ATCTGCCGGGCGGACGCGTCCGAGGTGCACCGGGAGGCCGAGTGAGGCTCACAGACACTCTGCCGCACAATTCGCTAGAGGAAGAGGACCTTGGGCGAGGGGCCCGGGCCACCAGCCCGCCCCCTGGGCCCGGCCGCGCGCTTAGCCCCAAGGCTCTCCTCGGCTGTGGTGAGAATAGAAGCAATCTAGGATCCCGGACACCCCACCTCCTCCCCCGCCTGCGCGGCACGGCCAGGGCCCGGGGCGCTCCCCGTGGCGCCGGGGCTGGCCCCGGAATGGCGCTGGGGGTGTGGGCGGCGGCGCCTCCCCGTGCTCCGCGCACCCCAGAGACGCCGGCCTTGCGCCATCACTTTCAGCTCTTTGTATCTGTTGGGTTTGGGTTTTCTGTTGAGTTTTGGTTTGTGGCTGCGTGACCCGGCGCCGGAGCGAGCCTGGCAGGTTTGATCGCACCAGCAGCCCGAAGCAGGAGGGCCAGGCGAGCTGCCCGGGACGGACTGGGCCCTGGCGGGCAGCAGGAGGAAATGGTCAGTGGGGCACCGGACACAGCTACTCGAGGCATTACCAGGGGCCAGGCCTCTCCCACACCCCAGTCCAGCCTCCCATGGAGAGCGGGTCGGGCTGGGCCTGGCGCTGTCCTGCTGGAGCTCGGACAGGAGGATCTCCGTTGTCCTTCCCTCCCTGGGCCGGCCGCTCTCCCCAGGCTGAGCTCCAGCAATACTCCTCCCGCGCCGTCGCTGACAGGTGGTGGGCAAAACCTCCCGGTCCCTGCCAGTGTGCCTGGTGGAGACCCTGCATGCCACAGGGGCACCTGTCTTTCTAGAAGGCGAATGAGGTGTCCCCCTGGTGCGGAGAGCCCCCGGTGGGCATGTCCCCGGCTTGCAGGGCAGGCGGCCCCGGAGCGGGCTCCTGCCTCATTTTTAGATATTCTCGCGGTGAATTGTAACTGCCCTGTGCAGAGGGTGACGCAGGAGCCCCCTGTACTCCCAGCCCCCCGTGAGCATCCCAGCAGGGCCCTGCGCTGGCCGGTGGATGGGGGGGAGGAGGTGGGCATTGATTTATGGATCTTCTCTTCCCCCAGCTTGTATCATGGAAAAGCTGAGCGGGTTCGACCCTCCCCACGTTCCCTTCCCTTCCTCTGCCTCCATCCCGGCCCCGGGAGAACGTGCCCTGGTAATGCCTCTGCATGGTCTGTTGCTTGTGCCCTGGGTCTGGTCCTTCGGGTGCGCGCACGCTGCTGCCCAGACGCCTCCCAATCAAAGCAAGGGAGCGGCCAAGCCGGTGCCCGAAATGTTTGTCGTGGAAGTTGTGTTGCATGATGTAACGAGAAGAACCCTCTTCCTGGGGTGCAGGGAGACGGACGCCAGCCCCGTGTAGATGTTCACAATATGCATGCGTGTCTGAGCAGCTTGGAACGTGGTATTGACTCCCTGGCCAGCGGGGCGAGGGGCTCTGGGCTCAGCTGATTACTGCCAGGCACCGGACTGCACATGGCCAGCGCCTCAGGAGGACCGTAAGATTTTCAGGACATTTCCCCCCTCCCCCCAAGGTAAACTGAGTCAGGAGGAGCCCAGGGAGGAGGAGCCAGCTTAACCAACAAATGCACGCGGACGTTCCTCTCCACCAGCCAGAGGTGAGAAGTTGGGGGGGGGGCGGTCAGAGAGAGGAGCGCCCCCTTCTCATTTGTGTGCCCCACCCCTCCCCTGCTCACTTGCACCTGGGGCGAGCGTTGGCCATGAGAATGGCCCCTGGTGCTCTGAGCTTCCCACAGGCAGACTGGGGCTGTGTACCCTCCCCCAGGGTGGAGGGGGGCAGGGAGGTGGGCCTGGTCTGCTGCTGGGAAGCCCTGGGCTGGGCCATGGTGGCTGCAGCTAGGGGAGGGTGGGGGTGGGGGTGGGGCAATACTGCGCCCTGGAGCAGGGGAAAGTCCAGGGACTGGGCCGGGTCCCTGCAGCCATGCAGGGTTTGGGGGTCCAGGAAGCCTGACCCCGGGGGGCTGGTGTTCAGCATCCAGCTGGCAGTGGGGGGGGGGGGGGGCCCGCCCCCCCCCCCCCCCCCAGGTTAGCTCAAGGCAGAGCTGGGAGCCTCCCAGCCTGGCGCCTTTGTGCCTCTTGCACCATGTGCCTGGGGCACGGGGAGGCCGGACTGTGGCCAAACAGCAGCTTCAGATTGGCAGAAGCGAAGGCTTTTCCTGCCCTCTCAGCCAATAGAATCACGGTATCCTCCAGACGGGGCCCAGCTGCTCCATTATGGACAATCCAGTTTGTCGCGGAAGCTTTTACACTGTCCCGGGAGAGCTGCCCTTCCGGCCGGCTGAGGCACCGGGCTGGCGTTTGCTCTGGGGCCAGCGAGCAGCCCCCCTGGCTCCTCCGCTCAGGCAAACCGCACAGACACCAGCAGCTCCTGTGGGACCAGGTGCCCCGGCCAGCCCCTCCTCCCCCAGCTTTCAACGTTTTTATTTCACAGACACGACTAACCAAAGGTCTCTTCTGTACATAGCCGCAGGTGACGTTTCTCTGTGTATAGCCAATCGGAGCAGTGTTGGCATCCACCCGTTTTAACCCCCCTTTACGATGCCCGGTGAAAAGCCTTACGGTTCTTTTGATGGTGACTCGAAAGCTCACAGCTCGTGTGCTGCAGAATTTATTCCGATGAGCAGCTAAGGTCTCATTTAAAAACAGCCCCCCAATTATTTAGGATGTTTGTGATTGCTGATTGCGCTGTAGATACCACTGTTACCAATGAGTTCCTGTGGTGGGGTAGTGGACTGTTTACTGTTCTATTATTCCAGTCCCCAGGCCCTCCAGAGGGAAAGCCCAGCGGCCCCCCTGGACGGTGCTAGGACGCGTGTTCTGTGTTAGAAAGTTTTATATATATATATAAATATATATATAATTTTTTTTTTGCTCTGTTACTTGCACATTTTACAGTTACCTCATTTTTCCCATGTATGTATTTGAAAAAAGGCTAATATATAGAGAAAAAGGTTCTTAAAGCTCTAAAAGTGTTTGTTTTTTTCCATTCCATTGGACTCATATTGGTTTTGTAGCATTTAACATACCTAGTCTGTTGTATTATATATATGTGTATTATACGGATTGAAATTTTTAACAGATTTGTACTTTTTTTAAAATGAAAGTTGCTAGTTCGGCTTGATCAAGTAGTGCAATCATTTTTTTTAATGTTGTGGCTGATTTTGAGAGGGATATTCACTAATAAATGTATGATGTATACCAATGCGCCGTACCCAGCCTCCCTGCCTCTCTCTTCTCGCTGCCTCTGGCCAATGCTGGCCCCAGCCTGTGCTTATGCTAGCCCAGGGCCCTGGCTGTTCACCCTCTTATCATTGTGGTCGGCGCCTGCTACCCCAGCTGCCAATCACATCATCTGCTTCCCAGCACTGAGTCTACACCCAGCACACCAGGCAGCATGACCTGGAGCCTACAGGTCCCAGCATGCAATGCTCTAGCTTGAGTCAAGCTTCCCTTCTGCACTGCATGCTGGGCCTGTAGCTTCCAGGCACTGCACAGGGGCGGGGTCCAGGTTGCATTGTAGGCCAGGGGGGCCTGCATTAGCACAGGGGCAGGAGCCTGCAAGTGAGAGGCACGGCTGTATCCCTGTGACTGATGGGAACAGGCAGCCAGGCTGGGGCCACGCCCTGGGAAGGAGAAGCTCCTGACCTGCTCCATGTCCGGTGATAAATGAGGTTTGCACAAGCAGGTGAAACAGTGTCCTGGGCTCTGCTCCATGCTGTCAGGGGCACCTGGACCTGCAGTCCCTTCCCCAGCAGCGTGCTGCGGATTTTGTCTTCCTGCTGCAGCAGTAACTAGGAGCCGGTGGGTGGAAATGGACTGAAGCTACTGGCCGCTCTGAGCACCAGGTGAGCACAGCTTCACTCGGGCCGGGCCAGGCCAGGCCGCAGGGGTGGAAGCCCGTTTGGGTTTGTGCCCCCCACTACTCCCCTGGGGAGGCTGTTCAAGAACTTCTCCTCTGATGGTTAGAAACCTTTGTCTAATTTCAAGCCTAAACTTGAGGGTCAGGTTATAGCCATTGGTTCTTGGGCCAGCATGGGCCCTTAATTTCAATAACTCCTTTCCCTCCCTGGTGTATTGATAGAGAGCAATCCTATCTCCCCTCAGCCTTTGTGCAGTTAGGCCAAGCTCTCTGTGAGGTTTTCCATTCCTCAGATCATCCTCGTTGCCCTTCTCTGCGTCTGTTCCAGTGTGAATTCATCTTTCTTAACAAGGGAGACCGGCACTACACACACTATTCCCAATGAGGGCTCACCAGTGCCTTGTATTATGGTACTAACACTGCCCTGTCTCTACTGGAAATGCCTCACCTGAGGCATCCTAGGACTGCATTAGCTTTTTTCACAGCTGTATCCCATGGCCAGCTCATAGTCATCCCAGCTGATAGCAAAAGTTCTTGGTGCTAGTCTAAGTGCATGACCTTACACTGTGCACTATTACATTTCATCCCATTTTTATTATGCCCGTCAGACAGATCTTGTCTGAGAGTCCTGTCCTCTTCCAGATTGGCACTAGCTCCCAGC